CCTTCTGGTGTTGAGTAAGATTATTTTAGTGGTGCTATTTTTACATTAGATACTCGGCAGTATAATCAATGTACACCCCCTGACAAATTATATGTCGAAATTTTAAAATATTAATAGCTCAAAAGCAGAGATATCAGCGATAAATTTTACTAAAGTATCCTTTCACTGCTATCTTCTATAATTAGCTCTCACACTTCCGTTTCATCAATCCCATACATTAATTGACGCTATGTTAGATAGAATTCCACTCTTTGACCATGGGCTGCATCAGCTCTCCACAAGTTTTTGGCATTTTTTCTACATTAGTTTTGATGAAATGCCATGGGCTTAAGTCTGGTTCTGGGCTATTTGCAGGCTACTCCATTACTTATACTTGAGAACATTATCCCTAAGAAATGACTGAGCAGTGGGCTTGTGTGCCTCAACCCTTTGGAATTTGATGAGTAGGCTGTTGATTGGCTAAATTATTCGGAACACTTTAAGTTAGTATAAAGTATCAAATACATTTTTTTTTCAACCTCTTTTATTTTTATTATTATACCAGTATTACAAAATGATGAAACTTTGTTCCATTCTGTTTATGAGTTCAAATTTGGTAGCTCCATCCAGAAGGTTGACCCAACCAATATTCTTGCATGTTATCTTCAGTTAACCTGGGTAGTTTCAGTAACTTTTGTCATACCCAATCCATGAAAGCTTTTAAAATTGTCATGTATGAAACATCATAATCTTTACACAGAATAAGAAGCTTAGTTCAAGATTCTCAGAGAAATACTGGAATCACAGTGTATTAATATGCAGGAGATGTTGTGACAATGTGAATTTTTTATCTGATGTTCCAATAGATAGTAATAATGATTTCATGTTGTTTAATCAAACTTGGTTACTCAGTTTTGTGATCAGAAACATGATAGGAAAAGTAAAAATGAAAAAGAACTATTTGCAGCTTGCTTAAAAAAATGTTAGTCTTACATCAAACATTTAAAAAAACGTGATACAAAAACAATTCATATTTGGTAATATATACACATTCAAATGCTTTTATTTGTAGCACACTGTAGATACCATGCACAAGACAAATTTGTTCTATTTAAATTCATGCTTTTGCTAATTTTTATCATTTTGTATTTGGTGTGCCCTCTTAATAGCAGCACAAACTCTTGTCCTTACATGCAATGCAAATCCATCATTTGGTTTAAGTTCTAATGATACATCAAGATCCTTCAATGCATTGTCATATTGATTAAGTTTGTAATAAACAAGTCCTCTATTTGTCAAATTAATCACATTGGTTGGATTATGATCCAGTGACTTATTAAAATCACTTAGTGCATCTTCATACCTGCCCATACTAAAATAGACCTCACCTCTTATACTCAGTGTCCAAGCACTAGTTGGCACAATAGACAAAGATTTATTAAGATCACTCAGCGCATCTTCATACAAGCAGCTTTAGAGGTCCACCTTAGTTGCGCCTAATAAAGGACACGAAATCAGTGCATCTTCATACTTGCCCATTACATGATAGACCCCACCCCTAGTTCTCAATGCCTGTGCATCATCTGGTTTAATGGACAGGGATTTGTCAAGATCTTCCAATGCATCTTCATGCCTTCCCATAATACGATACACTGCACCACGTCTATACAATGTGTATGCATCATTTGGACTGATATTTAAAAATATTGTAAAATCATCCAGTGCCTTGTCATATTCTTTAAGCATACAATAGACTTCCCCTCTTTTACTTAGTGTCTGTGCATTATTTGGTTCAAGCTCCAATGATTTGTTTAAATCAATCAATGATTGATTATATTGCTTGAGCAAGTAATGGATATACCCTCTTTGTTTTAATGAAAATAAATCTTGTGGTTCAAGTGCCAAAGCTTTGTTGAAATCATGCAATGCTTTTTCATATTTTTTAAGAGTGCAGTAAACATTTCCCCTTTTCTTCCATGCAAATGCATCATCTGGTTCAATCTCCAATGCTTTGCTGAAATCATTCAATGCATTGTTATAATCATGACGCCTTGAATAAACTTCCCCTCTTCCACTCCAAGCAAATGAATTATTAGGTTCAATTTCTAGTGATCTATTGAGATCAGCAAGGGCATTATTAAACTGCTTTAGTGCACAATAAGCTGCTCCTCTTCTACTCAATGCAAATGCATCATTAGGGTTGATGTCCAATGCTTTGTTGGAATCATCAATAGTATTATAAAACTGTTGCTCCATAGATGCCCTAGGTGGTAATATGCATCCTTGTCCAGTTCTTGGGGGTAATATGTGAGTGCTTGGTTTATAGCTTTTGTCAGTATGGTAATTTAGTATGTCATGACGTAGTTTCCTTGGTAATAAATCCTCATATTAATATAGGATAACTTTTTGGGGGGAGATACCAAAAAATCTTATGTAAGGAATACAATCTGCAATAATATCTTTAAGTGTGTTTGTGTTATTAGATGTCCATTCATCAGGATCAGTTCCAAGCTCTAATTCAGGCACTTGTTTAGTGGCCCATTGTATGACTGACATCCAAACATCATCTTCACTCATGCTCAGTTCATCATTCTTGAGAAGAGTAATCAAAATCCCTTTTGGTAATGCTGTAAACCCATTTGATTTAAAGATAATATCTGGGTGAGAAACCATAATTCGATTACAATAGGCCAGAAGTTTATTCAAAGAGGCTGTATATGTAGATGCAGCAAGGTTGTGAACTTTGATAATATTCTGTTGAATCCATTGACTTTGTTTATCAATCAAGTAAGTTTCAGTTGCCATGAGGAGATCAACCAGTTCAAACGTGAGAGCTCCGTTCAAAAGGCTGAACCAACCTATATTCTTGCATCTGTCATAGGACATCCGTCCAGGTGTATATATACCTGTGATCAATTGTCAAGTATGCAAATAAACAAGCATTACATTAGTGACAATGTGATACAACTTACACACATGTCTTTGACCCTCATGAGTTTTACCTGAGCAAAATTTCGAAAACGTCAGGAGACACATCTTCAAAGGTTAGGGCAGTTTCTTGAATCGCATCGGACGCCTTTGTATTCTCGGTTAGTTTATTCTCAAGGAATTTGCTTCTTGCACACAGTACCACCGTATGAGCGAAAAAAATTTTGCTGTATGGCTCTTTTCCAACCTGGATTGAAATATCTGTATATCTGCTAGTTTCATACAGTTTCCCATAATCGAGTGAGAGACTTGAGGACAAATCTAAAAAGTCATTCATTGTTTACTATTACAGCGTTCCAGGTTGGGATAAGATAATTATTGCGAAGCGGCCAGCACGAGACCCGAGCCAATATTTGTGTAATGTGTAACCTGGTGTTGCGCATGTTGATAATTTCACCCGCCTTTTTTGATCATCAGTAAAAATCGAAGAGAAAACCCCGAAGAAAAAAGAAAATTGTAAAGTTAGCCAGTGGGTGGTGCATTTCAGATGACAGAAATCGTATTACGCAAATTACTCTTACTATTCAGGTAGTTGCAAAATATAATGGCTGTAATTCGCGTTCAACAATCGAATCATTAAATCTTGATCGACTGCTAAATTCTCTTATAAATAACGATAGCATCATGACATACAGTATGGATAATTTGAACGATTTTAGAACTCTAGTCTATATTTACACCTAGCACATACATGCCATAACGTTTGGATGTTATGTTGAAGCTGAGGACAACGGCTCAAAATTCTGGTCGTTGCCATGCTCGATCATCTCACATCATACATAATGGCTGGACGAGCTAACTGTTTTGTCTTGTTTTTTTCGTAGTAACCAGAGCGTCAGGTTCAGAATAAGCTAGACGAGAAATCGAGAAGCTCGCAGTATTTATCTTTATCAAAAAATTGTTCAACGGCAGGAAATCAATTCGTTTTCGATTTCAAACGTATGCTCAACTGAATTGATTTATCGGATAATATTGCTTTTCAAATGCTCGGAAATAAATCGCACACTCATTAATCTAATGACATTAGGGTTTATCTTTGATTTGTTCGTCGAAAGACCCACCACTGTTCCGGGATAGCATCACGCTTCTGTCGTGATTGGTTCTATCAGTTCCATCCTTCTCAGCCTTGTATGATAACTCTATGTGAGTATAAAGTAAACGTAGTGACTACAGTAAACAAGGTTACATGTTATTATTGTGAGCATCTTGAGGTGCTCATTTTATTTCTTAAAGATGTCTATAGGACACCTAGATTGTATTATTTCGATAAATGACGATAAATTGTAACAAGAAATTTATGATAGCAAACGTTTGCTGGAAACGCAAATTTGTAGAGTATACGGGAAATAAATTGCAATTTTATTAATTTCACACAGGATGGCATCAGATTTATCTTCTATTGTTTGTCGATGACATTAAAATAATTACAGTCGAATGATAACTTAAGGACTTGCTAAATTACTGTTTACCGTAATGTACTCTGCTCCGGTATAGTAACAAATTCTGTCTTAATTGTAATAGCTTTTTACTGTTTCTGTTTTTCTCAGCCTTTAGAACAACTGTCACAAGCTATATGCGTTTATATTCTGGACCATGACGTCGTCGTAGCCTGCAAAACTCCATTTGTTTTCTTTGCGATATGACAACTACCAACAAACCAATGTGGAATGTGAGTATAAATAAAAGCAGTATTATAATAACCAAAATTTTACGCTACTATAGTGATTTTATTTCTTAAAACTGCGTGTCTAAGAACAAAATGACAACAAAAAATTTAGCAGTAACAAACGCTTAACCAATATTTGTTGGGAAACGCAAATTTCTATAGTGGAAATATGTAGTTATTGTGTAAAACTGTAAGCACAAACTCTGCCAAACTCTACCATGCGTTACTTTTTACCAGAATCGTCTAAACAGTTTATGGATTAAAGCCATCGACTCGCTATGTTCAAATTATATATTATACAAAACATTTATGACATTCAATATTTATTTAAAAGAGTTAATCATCGTAATTAATACTCAAAGCTTGCCTAATTCCATAAAAAGACAACCATTGTTACCAGGGATATTAAATATGTTATGCCACTGCTGTTAGAATTAACAGAACTACCATTCGTAGAACTAGGGTTACCAGAACTACCGTTTGTAGAACTAGGATTACCAGAACTACTAGTGCTCGGACTGGTAGGATTACTATTGGTTGGACTAGTAGGATCACCAGATCCGCTAGTTGTGGAATTACCAGTATTAGATTGACCACAGTCCATATCCCAGGAGACGTCGAGTTGCAAATCGACGGAGAACGCATTGTTATTCTGTATCGCTAAAACATAATACTGGTTGAATGAAGCTGCCGCAGGACCACAACCGCATGGAAGATCTGAACAGCTGCTGATTGAATTCACGGTTTTAAAGGTGTTTGGGTCGAGTACTGGCGTAGTTTTGCTGTTAAATGACCACATAAAGAATTTAAATGCAGAATAACCGGTCGCAGAAGGTACAAGATTGAGAGCAGAACCACACGTACTATTAAAAGTGGTTGAATTCGAATATATTGCATTGCACGCTATGCAAGATAAATCAAAGTTAATAAATGATTATTTTATTATAACATAATTTGTTGTCAAATACTTACTAAAAATGTTAGAAGGTGTAGCAGACCAAACCCACCAAATTTTACCACTGGGAATGGAAAAAGTTGCTGAATTTGCAATAACGTTTGCTGTAAAATGTTATTAATGGTTGTAGATTTGTATCAATATATCATGTGATTATAATAAATGAATGAAAGTTTTGACTGTTGATTTTACCAAATTGCAAGGTCAAAAATGTTATAAATAAAGCAAAGGGCGTCTTCATTATCCTCATGTTAATTAAATCTTGCGTTGAAGAAGCAGTGTTTTAAATACTGTGTTTGTTGTGTACAAACGCAGGAAAAGTTTCCATCATTCACGTATGTACATAAGTGGTCATAATATAATTATATTATGACCACTTAGTCTAGGTTATGTCCTCTCAGTTAGACTATGACATTAGGTTAT